ATCCTTACTGTTCTATACTTACAATTTCATTTCAATCCCATCGTGGATACAAATCAAAGCTTAAAATCCTATCTTCTCGTATGCCTTATAAAATCGTATTTTTACTTGAGAGTTTTATAGTATTGTTTATAGCTTTTATAATATATTACAAATCGTAATAGTTGATCATAAACAGCCATTCACTTTTACATCAAACTAACAACCTTTTCGATGACCAATCTTTTTTGTTTTTATGTACACCATTTCAATCTCATCATCTCGTGGATACAAAATTCGAGGCTCATCCTGTCTCCTCTTATAGCCTTAACAAAAAACAAAAAAAAAATAAATAAATAAAAAGAAAGAAAAAAATTCTAATCTCCACTTTCATTCGAGACACGCAGGAACAGGCCATTAATCCATTTCTCCATCGTAAAGAAATATTTCATTCCGTCTATTTTCCATTCCATCCCTGAACGTCTTCCTTTCACTTCTCTCGACCATCTGTGCAATGGATTATTTCGCAGATCTTCCATTTTCTACCAGCCAGAGGCAGACCGTGATATTCTTTTTCTTCCTATTTTAAAAATTTTTTTTTCTCCCTTTTTTATTTTATTCCCTTCCTTTTATGATTGCTCCAATTTTATTACGAATCGAATGGGATAAAGTTGAAATTCATTTTCTGGATGATGGACAATAAGAATGGAATTTCCTTGATCTTTTGTGATTTCTTTTCTTATTTTCTTGCGATTTAATTTTATTAAACAGATTTTCGAGATGCTGCAAATTATTTAAAAAATTATTATATTCGTTTTTGTACAATTGTTTAATTTTTCTTTTTTCGGAAAATATTTGTAAAATTTTTGCGTTGTAAATAAATTTGTGAATTTTTTAATAATAGACATGAACGATTGAATCAAAAACAAAGGATGTTTAGCAAGGCTATTTAGAGAAAATATTATAAGATCTTTCCATAAGAGTAATCGTTTCACAACTTCTAACAAGATTCTTCACGTGATTCAACATCCTTTTGGATCTATTAAAAATGATAATTAAAAACAGTTAAAAATAAAATTTTTACAATTTCCGATCAAAATATTTGTCACAATTTGTCAAGTATATTAAAATCAAACTCTATCTTCGTTATTTTGCATATTTGATATTATTTCTTCAAATATATAGAATTTTATCACTAAAAAGAAATTGTTAAGATTAAAAATAAAATAATTTAAAAAATTTTTTGAATAATCGTTCGTAGTCACGATATATTATAAATATTTCATATATTATATATCATTATATCCTTATTAACATTTTAATATAATATAGATATCTTCCTGTCATAATGTTATAATATTAAGTCATAAGTATATACATAACCTCAAAACGAAAACTCGTCTCATATCACGATCTAAAAAGCATATTTAATAAATTCATGCTACAATAATTCGTAGTTCGTGTTCAATATATCTTATTATACATCATCGATCTTTATCTTTCGCTAAACATAACCTAGACTTTCCCTCTATTCAGATTATTAATATCAGTAACATCAATTGAATTTTATTTGCAAATTGAATTATGAAATCAATAATTCTTAAAAATTTATGAAATACGTATTACAAAATTTATTCGGGCAAATTCAAATTTAAATATTGATTATAACATTCATATATTCAAAAGATATTTTTTTCGATATACTCACAAAAATATAAATTTAAATAAATATTCGTAATTATTATTTATCTTCCAACTGATTCATTTTTCTTTTTGCATTGCAAATGAATATTTTTCCTTACGAATTCTTTTTTAAATTTTTCTATCCTCTAGGTATATACTTATCGATCATTCGCGATTCATTTTTTGATATTGTCTTAATGAGAATGACGCATAAAAAAGATGCGGTAAAAAAGAATTCTTTTCTCATTGACAATAAGTAGAACGCTAGAAAATGAGGTCAAGAAGTATGAACTCTGAGCGAAACTATGCATCTATTCCCCTAGCAACAATATAATATATGATAAAAAGCTACATTTACATGAAAGTTAAACTGAATGCTTCACATTTGTGTGAAATCCGCTTTTTCATTTCGATAATATATTTCGTTCATTTTCACTTTTTAAATTTATATTATATGTATCCACACATATATACATGCTATGCAATGCTAAATATATTATATAAATTATAATCATTTTGCAATTATAGATAAATCTTTGTAAAATTTTTATAATTATGACAAAGTTTTTATAAAAACGATATATTATATTTTATTGAATCTTTTATTCTTTTAAATTAACTATTTCTTTAATGTATGAAAGCATCCATGTATTAAAAAAAAATTATAACAAACAAATATAATGTAAAGCACTAATCTCTGGAATATCACGATGAAATAAATATTAATTGCACTCACTGTATCTTAAGAAATAACTATCTAAGGTACAAGCGATTAACCTTTGATGATTTGTGTTCAACAGAAAGATTGATCGTTGACCAGTTAAAAAATGTACAAACCGATTTTAAAGCGATATATGATTCTTCGAACATCTATCAATTCTCATCGTTATAAGTTCGATGACCTACAACTCGAGCATGCAATAGAATATGCTACTGATTGCAAGCAGAGGGACGAAAAGTAATCCATCAACATCTTTCTGCTCTCCACTTTCGATTTCCAATACATTTCTCATGAATTACACACGCTTTCGTATGTCGCGTGTGCGCATACTTATACAGAATATCACTAATAATTATACAAATTGTGCAGTCAGTGTTATGTATCTCGAGAGAAGATCGTTGAATATTTTTCGTTCCATGGCAGACACTCAATTATGAATATTTATAACCCGGAGCTATTTTGAAAACTCTGTTCCATAACTTTTTCTTTTCCTATCGCGGCTACCATTAAAATAAATCTCTTTAAACAAAGATATTCCTTTATACGAATTTATGTGATAGAAACTAAAAAATATTTTATTTATTTAAAATATTCGATGTTGTAAGAAGAATGATATAATGTTTTATAATTTTTGAATTGTAACTTTCTTTTGTTTTGTTATGTTATATTTTGTTATATTCAAAAAACTCGTGATCCTTCTCTCTATATAAGTTGAAATCTTTTTCCACTAAATTTTTTTTGTAAAATATTCAATTTCTATTTAAAGAATTATATATATGTGTCACATGCATGAATATTAAGAGGTTAACACGGTCTTACTGCCGAACAATGACTGGCAATTAAGGACGTGCGAGCACACTAATATATTGAATACATTCGTCGTTCGGGTCGTGTCGGAAAAAGTCGGGCGGATTCGAGTGAGAACTCGTAATATACGAATTCGGATTTAATACAATACAAACAATTTGATTTTTTGTAATTATTATTTTATAAAGAAAGTGAGTAAATTGAAAAAAAACGATATTGGAAAAAAAACGATAAAAGTATTTATTTAAAAATAAATTTCTCCTACTATTTCATGATGAATTAAGATAAAGTTATTCGGAAGTTCACAAAAAGAAAAATTATTCATAACAGAAATTATTCAAAAGAAAAATTATTCAAAAGAAAATTTTTTTGATCTTGAACTTTATTTCTTTATCAGATATTTCAATAGCGAATTAAGAAAAATATATCCTATGAAGCTTAACTAACTTTATCAAAGATTATATATCTGTTTCTAATACCAAGAAGGAGACAAACGATTAATCGATCTTGATCGCAGAACGGAGGCAACAAATTGGGAACGGTAGCAGCATTAAGGAGGGAATCAGAACGACTCGACGAGGAGAGGAGGATCCAGTATAGCTAATTAGCGTGTTACGGGCAAACGAGGGCCCCGATACCGTTACGTATCTCGCAATGCAATGCAAAATGGTAAGAGAGCTGAAACGATAATGATCTAACGATATACGCACATGTGAAACAAACGACTCTTCCGACGTCGACCGTGTGCTTTGACTCTTTGTGAGCTCGCTCTCACACCTTGACCTTCTTCAACCGGGAAGTTCTCCCTTCAAGGATATTCGCAATCAAAGAATGTTATAAGACAAAATTTCTCAACTTATAATATTCAATTTTCAATTCTTTTCAGTTCAAATTTGTTTAAAAGAAAAACCTTCTTTATCAATTTTTTTTAAGGAAGATATAATATATAAAATTTGAAATCTTTAATATTTTGTTATTTAATAAAATTAGTTAAAGTATGAAAAATGAGTGAGAATGTTGTATCTTGACAATTTTAAATCTTCTAGAAGTTGTAATTAAGTACTTGTTGAGAATGCGTAACATTGTGAGTTATTTTTTATCTTTTAAAACATTTTTCTCAGACAATTAAAATTATCTCTTTTTTAACGTTTGTTTTAATTACATGAGGTCTAATGATTCTTTTGATTTCTTGATTTCCTGTATTTAATATTTAATGAAATTGGAAATACTAATTTTAAATAATTTTTATTTTGATTCTTAAAAATTCGTAAATATATTTTTTATAACAAATTAATATTAAATTTTTTTTTATAAATCAAAATTTTCCCTTTTTTTAACTTCGATGCATTAAAATGATTATGAATAAATTAATTTTTGTAATTAAGAAAATTAAAAAAATTAACAAACATATATAAAAATAAACAGAGAATAAACTTCAAACTTTAAAATTTATCCTACAACTTATCCTAACATAATGTTTAATTTTCATTAAAATAATTTATGATTAAAATTATTATGAATACAGTACACATCTTCTATATCAATCTAATCAATCAATCAAAGTTAATTGTTTTTTCCATAAGAAAGTCAACATTCTACGACATATATAAATCATGAGGTTTCACTTAAATCAACTTTCCAATCTAAAATGCCAGTTCTAGATTATCAATACTAGTTCTAAAATAATAAAATATCACAGAATTTGATTGAACAAAAATAACGTTTTCGAATCGCGTATCAACTCTTAAAAGTACATAGAAAGATTATATTGTAAAGAAAAGTTCAATAAAATAGAAAAAAATGGAAAACTCACCGGATGAGAGTTGATTTGCTGACAGCATTTCGTCTTCGCCAGGCTGAAGGCGAACTTCCATTTTTCGTAAACGCGAGTGCAGCTCTCTGGTGTGCAAAAAGAGGAACAGAGTGCTGGAAATGGCGATCAGCGCAATTAGCTCGATCGTCCTGAAAATAAATATTGAATGAAACAGTTATTCCAATGAAAAGAAAAAAAAAGATTATATTAATTCGATACAAAAATTATCGATTTTTGATTCTTATCAGTAATTTTAATAAGTATCTATATTTTTAATAAATAATCTTTTCATCATTTATGATAAATTTATTTTTTTATTATTTTGGATCTGTATAAGTTATTCAGATGATCAATTATATAATATTTTTGTTTTTCTGAAAAATTTTAAATTTTGGCATTAAAATATTTAATATTTTAGACATCAAATAATTAATTTAGCTTCTATGTAGATTAGAAATTCACTATAATATTTAATTTATAGAGATTAAATTAATATAATATCCTTATTTTTTGAAACTTTGTTATATTTACAAGTTACTAAAATTAAAGTATTTAATTATTAAAACACAAATAAAATATCCATTAACATTAACATTCTCAATTTATTCCACATAACAAAATACTTATATTACAATTATATCAATTTCAAATTCTCTCATCTACAACTATTTACAATGTAGACAAAGCTATCTACATTGCTACTTTCAAGATAGTCAAACATAAAATTACTATTACAAGAAAAAACTTTCCACTAAGCAAATAAAGGAAAAATAGCAAAATATTTAAAAAACACGAAAAAATACAGGAAAATATTTTCATAAAAATTTATAAATAAATAAAATGCAATTAGATCTTTTTGTATTAACATTTTCAATTACTATTTTTCCATTTAAAATGCTAATATCAATCTTAAGTATCTTTCTTTTACAACTATTACATTGTTACAATGTAAACACAAAGCAAATCTATGCTATCTACATTGGCACTTTCAAAACGGTCAAACATAAAATTACATTACTTCGCGAGAAAAGACTTTCCACCGAGCAAATAAAGGTAGAGGGGCCAAATATTTGAAAATGGATGAGGACACTTGTTTTCCCAAAGTGACATGTTACAGATTGTCTGACATGTGGGTTGTCGTCGCCAGAGGAAACAGGGCATAGCGAAGTCATCTATCCCGTAATTGATCATTCTGTTCGCGATGTTTCACGTGCGACCTGGTTTCAAGCGATCCCTCGTCGACCGTAAAAGGACGACCTCCACTGAAGAGATACAAAATTGCACTTCTGATGATATCGTAGGCTGCTGCATTTTCTTCCATGCATGATGTTTGCCTCGTAACTTTGTGGAACAAATATAATTGTAAAATAAGGAATCAAGAGAAATTTCTCCGAAGAATGACGATGAATTAAAGTGTCTTTTCTCTACGTTGTCGACAAGTACGTGCACGGAAAATTCAAGAATCATTCCTTCGATGTTTGACTTTCATCGTATAGAGAAAATTCAGTGATGTTACTGTAAAGCCATCGTGCATTTTATTGCGATTTAATATCTTGAATATCAATTTAATTTGAAAAAACTTTTCACATAAATCCGATTTATATTTCTTGTGTATAATAAACTATTTTTGTAATTCTCGGAATCTAGATAAAGAATAATTTGCATAAATAATATTTTTTACAAATCAAAGAATAATTGGCTGACTGTAAGTTTTAGTTTAAAAAATTCCAAAAATTAAAATTTTAATCCTTGATAAATATGTATAATTTATTATACTCTACATACAATTTTTATTAAAATCAAGTTAAATAAATTTCCATTATTAAGCTAATTATATTATATAAATTAAAAACGAAATCTATTTTTATTTAATTAAATAAATTCAATAACTTTCATTAAATTTCAAATAGATTAATTGTTAAAACATAAAAATTATCATGTCAATATTGATCTAATTCATGAGTTTCATTTATCCGTTATAATTATTAACAATTATAGCAAATCATGATGGCTTGATAGAAAAATAATCCATTCATCGCATCAGAAGTTCTTTTTCCTCCTGCGCAGGAAGTAATCTCGTTAAATGTCGGCTGTTTGAATTTCTACGATCGATAAACGTTCTGCATCTCATTGAGGATGCCCCTTTAGAAGCAGTATCCTGTCTACATCGTATCGATAAAACGTCATCCAAGATGACGTTCCTTTTAAACCGATCGGACATTGACACATATGCGTGACAGCATATGTCACGGAACTTCATAATGGTTTGTGATCGGTGAACTAGAAAAATCATTGACCGCCGGAAATTCCACTAGGTAAGCGATTTCTTGTATGGTCAAGATGAGGGTTTGCAGAAGAAGGCATCTTTTTCTGTTAAATGAACTGGAAACTTGCATAACATCACTTTATTTGTTTGAAAGTATTTTAATTTTGAACTTGAAATTTTTGAAACTCAGAATACTTATTTTCTCTTGTTTTTTTTTTAAGAATATTTTAAAATTTTTAATTTTTTAAATTTCGAATGTTTTTAATCTATAACTACTCGGTTATGCAATTCTCCTGAAGTTTTAAATTGCAAAAATAGCAAAAATTTTGAAAGTATAAAATTTATTTAAAAAAGTTTCAAAAAATTTCGAGATTTCAAAATTTGATTTTAATTTGAAATATCTCTAATATGAATTAGATTATTTCCCTACATGTTTAAATAAATGAGATTTTGTTGTATCTCGTAAAACTTTCAATAACTTTCATTTAGTAACATATAATTTAATTTGAACTCGAAAACTGACTGCGGACAGACCTCATGGGAATAGTTAAGAAGTTGAATTTCCAGATACCCTCATTATGCGCGATGGCCCTTCCCGCATTCCAAGTTATTTCATGGTCCTAAGAGCTTACGGTTCCCTCATGTTCGTGTGTCGTTGACACCGCATGTCGCGACCGATACCGTTCGTTTCTTGTTTTCTTTTATCTGGACATGCATTCATTTCTCCTGGCACGATTGTCTAGATCGCTTAGACATCCGAATGGTTTCTATACAGTAGATAAGATGCGCTTCTTCATGCCTATGGAACGTGTAACAGAGGAAAAGTTATGGTAGTTCGCCGGTTAAGAACTACTACTATACATTATTCTATATGATGATGATGGAAATGCATACAAATCTTTAGTGTCGGTCATTTTTGGAGAAGAAATACTTTAAACTTCATATTTGAAAAATTAATAATTTGTGCATAAATTATCTATATTTCTTGTATATGCAGCATTATGCAATGAAATGTCTTTGATATGAACAATGCTATAATAAAAAGATTAATTAATAAAGCTGATTTTCATAAATATTTATTAGAGAACATTTAATTTATTATTTGGATTGATTTCTAATTCTTTTCAATATGAGTTTAAGGAATAATTATCGAACATGAAATCATTTTATGTTTCAAAATTCGAAAAATTAAATCAATGCAATCTAAACCTATTTTAACCTAAAAAAAATAAAAAATTCATTACCAATAGATAAATCTAAATTGCAATCTATTTTTCATTTCATTTTTTTAATTGACAAAAATTTTATTCTCAAGTTTTTACGATTTGATATATTTCCCAGTTTATTTCCACAAACTGTTTACAAATGATTTCCAAGCATAGTGAAATATATTTGCAGGATTCGCTCACATCCTCGTTTTTTCTTTCATTTCTATTACCGTAAGAAGATCGTAGATAACAAGCGAATTCGTTTTCCTTGCTCAGGAAAATTGTCCGTGTCTAACGCAGGTGCAAACACTATAGAAGCTTCACTATGTATTTTTTTCCAACGAACGAATGCTTGACTCGCATGTTTTTAGTGGCAGTGAGATGGTTAGAACATCGCGAAAGCGCGAGACTAGCTTGTCGACACGCGAGTTACTTTAACATGAACTATATGTAGTTTGAACTCGCGCGATATCGTAAAAAGTAATAGCAACTATTTTCACTTGAAAATATTGTTGTTTTGCGATTTAACGAAGCAAAATTTATTATGATTTTTTTGCATTCAGTTATTCTTACTTTTATTAACACATTTTATACGATTATTATATGTATATTTCAATTAATTGATGACAGATGTCACTTGTGCACTAAGTGATTTTTGTTCATTTTATTTATCTCGTATCCTTTCTTGTTCTTTTTTATTTTTGGTGCATTGTAATATGTAATATCTTAATACATAGTCACACATGCATAGTCTTAATATATAGTTTTTAAAACGTGAAAGATCATCTTTTCCTCTGCAGTAATATTATTGGTAATATTATATAGATTTTATAAGATTCTGTGTTTCATCAATCCATTACTTTGTGATTACTTTGTGATTATTTATTTTTATTTTTTTTTTTTTTGGTAAATTTTTAGTGAATAAATTAAATGCATTATTTATAATACATAAAAATCGTGGATATAAAAAATTTTTGTCGTTCAATGATGTTATTTCTTAACTGTCATATGACAATTTATTCCATATAAATCTAGGTTTGATTTATTTTCTTAATAGTTTAATTATTATTTGGTTTATCACTCTGTTTATCACTTATCACTTATCACTTATCACTTATCTATAGCTGAAAAATTGTTTTTTTCAAATTAACATGTATTGATATTAACTGTTTATGTTTATGTAAGTAGTTAATGGTGAAAAATCGTATAAAACTCAAAAAATTTTGAAATTTCCTTAAATTTTAAATATATTATACCTATATTTAAATATCATAGTACAAGTATTATATATTATTGATGATTTAATACTAACACACGAAAAATTAATAGCGAAGAAACAAAAATATCTACTAAACAAAAATAAGAAACAAAAATACCTAAGCAAATCAAATTTTGGTGGAAAGTTAAATTATAAAGTTCTAAGTAAATGTTTCTGATTATTTTTTATTTCAAAACAGCTGATATTTAATAGAATAAATAATTTTATTGTAATATATTTTAAATTATATTGGAATTTAATTATATATATATTTAATTTAATTATAAATAAATTATGTTAGAACTATTATAATTGATGTAATTATAGTGATATAATTATTTAATACATGATATAAATACATTTAAAAAAATCACTAATTCATACTAATAATAAAAAATAAACTCAGTTGTTCCAATTCTAAATTAATAATTCTAATTTATATTCTAATTGTATATTTTGTTGGCAATTTAATGATAAAGATATTAAGAATATGAAATAATGTTTTTTGTTAAAAATAATATTTTTTTCTGAAGAAAATAAAAACATAAAGTAAACCATTTTAAAGAAAGGTTATACTCATTCTCAGTTACAATCGAGATTCACACGGATCAAATGATAAAAATCATGCTCCGATCAATCCTGTGGTTTTAGTTTTCCGGATTCCTATTTCGTTCGTGATGCAATCTCGTCGTCGATTTATAAGACGTTCTCGATCTGTTAGACTGATTCAGCGAAATATTAATTATCGAATTTTTTACCATCATAATGATATTGAAGATATTAAATTGATAAAGATATTAAAATCTCACACAAAATTTTTTATTTCTTATTTCAAATATATTTAATAATGTGTCTTTTTTTTCTTATTTCTTCTAGTTCTTACAATTAAAAAAATATTAACATATATAATACAATATTTTCATATATAGTACAATATCTTCATATTTTCACTCATATCTAACCTAAATCTAAAAAAAACAAACAATGCAAATAAATTTTTTTATATTCTTTTTAAATTATTAATATCCAGGAATGATCTTAGCACAAAAGCAATTAGTCAATAAGTTATCGTGACAGGTTGGAAAATCGTATCCGGTGAAAAACACGCAAATGGTCAATGTCGGTGAAACGAATCGGTGATTGAAAGTTTAGACGTAGTGGCGTCACGTTCACCACGTTCAGTGAGAGTTCCCAGTAATAATAGTATATAACATTGTTGCCTTGAAAACCATCATCCTGCATGATACTGATATGCCATGCACGACTTTCGATTCCCGTAAATAGCTAAGTTAATATAACACAATCGTGTTCTCTTTAGATCTGGTCATTGACCTTGAGAATCGAAATAACTTACGAAAACGAATTCCGTTATTTTCATTACGGGTCTTTCGTTTTATTCGTAATTTAATTCCTAATGCTATGATATTTTATATGCATTTAAAAATTTTTTTCTTGTTTTAAATCTTATCTCTTTTTTTTATTACGAGACAATTTCTTTTTCCTTGATCGTTTTATTTATAATCATGTTTTTTATGAGAATAATTATTAATTTGTATTTTTATTACTTAAAATATTGAAAGATTGATGATATGATAATTGAACAAAAGATATAAATGCTTTTTATTTACGGAAAAATATCTTATAAAACAAAAAAATATACATAATACAAAAAAAATTAACTTAATTTGTCGCAGGAATATAGATAATCTTATAATTGTTTAAAACGTTTTGCTGTATTTATGTTATGCTTTATTTATTTTTTGAATCGATCTAAACAAATCTATTTATTTGCTAAGTACTAAAAATTAAAGCTTAATAATTCTATTTTAAAAATAATTAATTTAATCTGTTTAATTGAAAGTTGAGAGAAATGAATATTTTAAAGACAATTATGGGAAAAAGGTAGGTTTTTTTCGTGAGAAATCCAGTCAGAGAAATTAAATGTTTAAAATAATATCCCAATGACAAATGAAATGATTTTAATGAAATTCTATTGTTCTAAATTTTCCAGACGGTTTTTATATATTTATTATTCTTGAGAATTATTTTAATTCATAATATAACTGAAAATATTGAAGATTTAAAGATAATTAGAAAATTTTCAAGTATATTCACATCTTAATGATAATAATGATAATAAATCTTAATGATAATAAAAAAAAATGGCAAAAAGAATAATTATGCTATTGTGATGTTAAGCGACTTACATGAATTAATATGAAATTCGATGAAAAAATTTATAAAAAAAGAATGTCGAGGTTCCTATTCACTTTTATGGTAATCATCCTTTTTATAGTAACTCGTTTAGAACTAATATAAACTAATAAACTTGTTTACATTGAATTTTCGAAAGATGATGTTTTTTGATATTCTTGTTTTTATAATTTAATTTTAGTTTCTTCATATCACTGTAAATAATAACAAATAAATTATAATATTACCATTGAAAATGAAAAATTAAAATAGAAAATAGAATATTCAATATTATCTTTTTCTAGTTTCATTTTAATATTATTATTAAAATGAAGCCAGAATTTTGTAATTCTGAATAATGAAAGAAAAAATCATGCATTTTATCGTCTAGCAATCATTAAATTATAATTTATTAAAAAAGTAATTTATTAAAATAGCTAAATAATATTTGTTTTTGGCAATATTTCAATTTTCTAACATCATTTTAACATTATTTCAAATTTTCTTTAATTTTGTTTTTCAATAAAATTTCTTTTAAATTTTTACAGAGATTTTTATACGAAAAAAAAATAATATCAAATTTCTGAAAGACAAAATAGTCAATCCATTGTTCATGATATTCTTCCATAATTCCTATTATTTCAATGTCAATCGTGATGGATCACGATTTGTTCTGTGCAGTTATACAGGCTCTTGTAAGATAACCTCAAATCCATTTTGCCGAAATGATGCATCTAAATAAATTAATAATAATAATAATAAAAATTAAAAATAATAAATTCACTTAGGAATACTTCGATCCATCTCTCCTCTTCGATGGAAATTTTTTAAACGAGATTTGAATAATTATTCTGCACGAATTCATTGAGTAATGGGGCGAAGATTTTGTGTTAAATCGTAGACATCGTGGGAACGAGGCTCGTTCTAAATGATTTCCGGTTAATCATCCTTTAATAATTATTCGCATCAAATTTTAAAAGACATATTAATTGAATAGATAAATTATTTCACTATAAAGAATAAGTTTAGAATTAATTTAATCTCCAATCTTTTTTTTTAATTTTAATTCTCTAAAATCTAATATTTTAGAGTCTTCTGAAATTCAAAAAAAACCAATTAATTATAATTATAATAATTACAATAAAAAATTAAATTTTAATTAATATTAAATTTAAAAAAATATAAATTTTGTAAATATATTTATAATTTCTATTTAACATAATTTATCAAAAATATTCTGTTATATATGTACATATATTAGAATGAATTGTAACAATCGTTACATTATTAAATCAATTTTATGTAAAAAATATTTATAAAAATTTTATATATTCTTATTAACAAACTTTAATCATTTATATATAATACCTTATATCATTTATATTCTAATACCTTTTACTTATTTATATTCTAATACTTTTTTACAATATCAATAAAAAACAATTTTCTTCATTAGATATATATATGAAACCTAACCTTAAAAAATACAAATCGATCTTTTCTGCAATAATCAAATATTAATGCAATACATCCAAACAAATTTGCAATCACAATCTTGAAATCGAAATTCTCTCTTCTTAACACTTCATCAAAATTTCAATCGATTTCTTTCTATAACAAATCAATACTATCGACATTCTTGTTTTTCGTTATTAAATCATCTTCGTCCGTTAGCTACGAGTTCTTTCGAGATAGAGTTCACGATAGAGGTCTATTCAAGTTTTTAATAATTTATAAGCCACCAAATCAAAAAAAGGAAAAAGCCAATCCTCTACTGTAAATCCAATTCATTCGATCACGAGTAATAGCAAAAGGAAGGATACACGTATCTATTAACAGGAGTCTGCATTTGAATGCGTCGGTATTCCGAAGTTAAGTATTTTAACGCATCGAATACTCAGTTGATAAATCGATTTCAGGCACGAGATCTCTAATCTTACGCTTTGTACCTCGATGACGCGATTCATCGA